CGTTGGATGATCGGGTAGTCACTTGTTGCTTCTCCGCGAGCTCGGCCAAGCGCGCTTTGACTTCGGCGATGGTTTCGTAAATGGGTTCCTTTTTCGTGCCAGGCTGGGAGCCCTCCTTGATAGTCTGGCCATCGGGCTCTGACGAAACCAACGCCACCTCAGCGGGAATGGGTTCCTCCTCCGTGGGTGTCAATGACTGTTCGCCCGTCATCGGTTCGGTCTTCTCGGCGGCGTCTTGCATGGCGGGTTCGAACACGAGTGTGAAATATTTGCGTTCGGGTACGGCCAAGCTGTCGTAAATGGGTTCAGGTTGCGGCGGCACGGTGCCGTAGAGCTCGTTCTCTACAATGGTCTCACGCTTGCCGCAAAGCCCACCGAACCACTTGCCCAGTCGCTCGGTGCGGCTGGGGGGACGCGTAACGGGGAATAGGACGATGTTAGGACCGGTCTTGACAGCCTCGGTGCCGGCGTAGCTACGGGTGAGAGTGGTCAAGGACTCAATGGCTGTCGACTCGTTGGTTGTCGACCCATTGGCTGTCGTCTCATTGGTTGGCCGGGAGACGAGGCCGGACTCACCGGCGGCCTCCATAATCTGCGCGTTGAAGACCTCGCGCCATGAGTTGATGGCCTTCTTGGCTGAGCCGTCGACCTCGGGACACAATGCGGCGCGGCCCAGGAACTGTGCCACAGAAAACAACAGACTCGCACGCTGGATCGGGCTGCCGTACAAGACATCCGCGAACTCCTGAAGCAACGTCCGGTGCGCAACCAACGGCGCACCCGGACATTGCTTTGCCGCCAACCTGGCGTCCGGCAACCTCGTCAAAAGCTCCAGTCCCTCCAACAAAGTCCAGAGCTCCACCTGCATCGCTGGCGACATCCACCTACTCCGTTTCAATTCCGATGCGTCGAACCACACCCCATTAAAACGAAGCGGGAACACCACACCCGCCATCAAGGCCAAGCTCGACGTCTCGGCCGACCGCTCTACTGACTTTCGGAAATGCTTCATACTCTTGCAAGAAAATTACGGGCCAAATTATTTTACCACACCGCCCGGCTCCCTTCCGGAAAAATCATCCTCAGACACCTTCATTCAATAGACTCCTCTATTAGTCATATTCTCACTTATATCGGTCATGCCATTATCCTTATGTCTCCGGGCGCACTTCAATTACAGGTCTAGTGACCCAGGGCAGTGCAACTCCAGGTCGAACATATGCGACTTTTCATTTCACTCCGGTAAGCGACGCAAGACGCTCGAGCGGCCACACCCAATCTCGGCAGGGTCATCGTAGGTGCATCGTTTTGTTCAGTAGGTTCATCGTTTTGTTCAGTAGGTACATCGTCCTGGAACTTTTCAGTTTTTTCAAAAGGACAGGAAGGTGGAGCGCGGGCCGGGGAAAAAAACACACACGTGTGCGACACACCGCAAATCCAATCCTGACGTCCTTAGAATCATTGGCACACGCCTTGCACTGTGTATAGGATAGTATTGCGTGGAATTCGTGACCACGCGAGATAAACATTTGGCAAACGAGATATCGAAAGGGAACCATGAGGCAAACCCAGTCTCCTTCTTCTGCTTAAACGTGTACAGCTTGTTGCTGTCTATAACCGATCCTGTTGTCGTACTCGGCGATCCTTCTGCTTCTCAAGCAGCCGTGTTTTCAGTTCTTTGAGGCATGAGGCTCTTAAGAGTAGATGGCATCCGGTGGCGCGGCTTGAACTCTAACGGCGGTTCCTTCGCGTGCCCGAGGTGGACGAGTCACCTGCCCTCGCTTCATTGTTCCAGTAACAGGCCGCTGGAGTGACATCAGCGAGCATTCTTCTCAACCGCGATCCCGTAT